GATGTCCTCACGTGGGCTGCTCTAGTGTTGGAGTCCATAAATATTTGTAATCAATTTTGGACTTGTAAGATGACTTTGGACTAAGCATTTAATTTGGATTCCGGATTAGCTTGGGCTTCAATTTAAATCTTGAATTCCAAAATGAAACAAACATGTTACAATCCAATTAAGCATCAAGATTTCTAACTGCAAGCCTCCATGATTCATCACTTGAATTAATCCTTCATCGAGCACCTTCATATTAATTTGATCATCTTCAAATGGATTCAAATGACCCGGACAAAATTAGGGTATTACAGATGATACTAACATGTCATCATAAAGTAATACCAAGCCATCATTGATTTTTTTTAAATGTCATGTTAACAGTTTATTAATTTTTTTAACAATTGGTGACCAAATGAAACTAAAACGTAATATTATGTATGATTTAAAAAAATATAATAGTTAGATGACCAAAACAAAATCAAAGTGATAGTTGAGGTACTAAATTTGTAGTTTATCCTTAATTATAGGGTGTGTTTAGTATCTAAACTTTCACTTTGTTCAAAACCATGCAAATCGTTTAGATTTTGTTCTTTTAGTACTCTGTCATTAAAAACTTAACATACAGGCTCATCGGTAGCCGCGTCTACAAGCGTCAATTGTCTCATCCGTTGACCGATGAAGCTCAAACTTTCTAGTTTATACCTTTTCGACCACCTAAACGCGATTCCAACCTCCATTTTACAGGGAAACGCCTCAATCTCCCCAAATTGGTGATGGACTCCTTGATTTATTCATCCTCCGATCTGCATAGTCCATCGTCTGATGGGTCTAAAACTAGATTATGTTGGCCGACTTGTCATTCTCTCGTGGTCCACCATTCAGATTGGTCGTCTGTCCATCAGAGTCATGCTATGTCAGTTCGTCCGTTAAGTTTTTAACGACGGTGTACTAAAATGAACTAAAAACTAAATATTAAGTATAGTTTAAAAAAATAAAAATCTAGATACTAAACGAATCAAAACTAATAATCTAAATATTAAATACATTGTTTACCCTTAATTATATTATATAAAAAAAAAAGGAGGAATATGTCAAATGCATGACGGTACAGGGTTCGGACAGTCTGTTCACAACTCACATGCGACTGCAAAGCTCACCTATCCCCAAAATATCTTCAAAATTCCTTTCTCGCTATAAAATGTTGTGCGATGCGGTTCACATTAAATCCGTGTACCCTACCTCATCAAAGCCCTAAACTTCCAGGTGGCCCACAAATCTTGTTCTTGTAAAACAAATCATGAGCTATTATGAAGTTGGCAGAGCGTGTAAATGACTTGGGATCCAATTTTTGAACGTTATGTTCACATTTCACTGTCCACATACTAAAACAATACAACCTCCTAATAGCTCATGATCTAACGCGTCGGCTTCGCTGTTCTCCACATACTAAATTTCTTTCTGGCTTTAATAAGTGACGAGGTCTAGAAATAATTTTAAAATTTAATAATTTTTGTTTGAATTAATAGATACAAATAAAATTTTAAGATAAATTATAATTTTAAATTTTGCTGTTCCCCGCATACTAAATTTCTTCCGGGCTTTAATCAGTGATGAATGAAGAAATATTTTTAAAAATAGATAAAAATTTTAAATGAATAGATACAAATAAAATTTTAAGAAAAATACTATTAGTAAAATAACTAACTAATCAAAAAATTAAATTTTATAGTGAACACATACTATGCAATGTGATTGGCTTTAATACTTAGAATCTTAGATTAAGGGAGTTTGAATATTTCAAATTATATTAAATTATTTATTATTAATTTTGGCTTGATTCCTCATGTCGTTGAATATTGTCTAAATTTAAATTGGCATAATATCAAAATTAGCACACAATGTTTATCAAAAGGGTCATTTGTCCTCTATTCTATTTTTTTGAGTATTTTGATTCCCATTGTTTCATTTTAAGGCAAAAAGACCTTTAATATTTGACAAAATAATCACTTTGTCAGTTTTTTTTATTTTAGCCCTCAACGTTTCATTTAGATAAAAAAAGCTCATGTTTTGGAACATTAATCGTGTGTTAACAAATAATTTTTATCTATAGAGAAAACTTTTTGACTCAAAGTGAAATGTTAGGGGCTAAAATACTAAAAAAATAGAGATCAAAATGATTATTTTGATAAACGTTTGAGATTATTTTTGATATTATGCCTTTAAAATTAGTAATAAAACGTTGAAATATTTTAATTGATTTTTTAATATATTAATCAAGATACCCAATGACAGATTTAGATATATCTTTTAGAATAGAAAAATGTATGTTAATAACATAAAATTTTTGAATGAGATATATATAAATAAAATTGTAAGATAGATATCCTCCGTAAAAATAAATATCTAATAAAATAAAATTCAGATTTTATAATGAATATGTGCCCATATATATGCATCAACAACTGAAGTTTCCTGTCAGTTCAAACTACCAATTCTAGTGTTAAATTTACGGATTATTTGTAAATATATGTATATCTACTTATTGGAAATAAGTGTTGGTAATGCTCAATCCCACATAATATTAGAAACACTATTGAGAATGATATTTAAGGCTTGGCTTTCCCACTTCCTTGTTGAGTGATAGAGAACAAGGGGGACTCTCGCGCGCTGCCGCCGCCGTCCGTCTCGTCTCGTCTCGTGGTCGTGGTCGTGGTCGTGGTCGTGGTAATACGTGTCTTTGACACGTACTCTCGAATACTATCTTTTTAGAGAAAATTCTTAAGAAACAAATGCAATACCACCCGTCGTTGTGATTTTGGACTATTGCAACGAACTTGGCTATCATCGCAAATCAGTTTCCAGATTCGCAACGCGAACTTCGACTATCGCAATGCGAATATGTAAATCGCAATGCGATAGTCGAAGTTGGCGTTGCGAATCTGGAAACTGATTTGCGATACCGAAAATCGTGTTGTGAATTATCGACCGCATTACGATTTAGTTGGTCATTTTGACAAATCTAAAAAAAGTTGGTTTGTTATTTTCTCTTAATAAAATTTGAGGCCTTCGTTTTTTAAATAATATAATCATCGAACTTATTTTGTGTTTAATGTGATTTTTAAAATTTAAAAAATATATTAATTTGGTAATTTAATTAATAAAATTCAACGTTGATTATTATGATATTAACATGATTACTCATTATATAACGTGTTGGTCCATAATGTTAGTGTGGTCATTAATGGTGCTTACGTATCTACGATGGATGATGATGTAATAGATAAGTTTAATTATTTTTTTGGCCGAATTTATAACCTAATTAATTTTTTAGAAAGTTGAGTTACTTATTTAATTTATTTTGAAAAATATTTTTATTTTAAATTTTAAAATTTTAAAATATTAAAATATTCAAAAAAAAATAAGATAATAAATTACTAAATATTTTAAAATACTAAAAAGGTAATATTAAATTTCTTTAAAAATATATCATAAGCTATAAAATGATAAATTATTAATTACTAAAAAATAAAAAAATTGAAAATCATATATTATACCTAATATATACATGTAACATATAGACATAAAGATAAATTAAACATATTCATATAGTCGAATAACAGAGCTAGTATGCTTTTAATCGAGACCTATGAATTTTGTATTTAAACATAGTTAAAAAAAATATTGTTAGTTATTCATATCAATACACACATCTAGTTATACTTGGAACAATTTTAAGGGTTATTCACAAGTTCTTACACATCATATAACAAGCTAGTATATAAAGCACACTTACTGTGTTTTCGAATTTCCAAATTGGTATTTTTACAATCTTATATTCAAACAATATTAAAAGATAAAAATATAATTTTTTATAGCATATGATATACAAATTAAAAATTTAAAAATAATATTTTTAAAATATTTATCCTAAGCTTAAAAAGTACAAGCAACTTGTATTCATGTGTTTATAATTTGATCGACATGCTTGAAATATGTTTCATGTTATATTGGAGTTGATATTTAAAATTCAAGATAATGATAAACCAGTAGAATAACTTAATTGATACAGATTGATATTTTGATGATCCAATCATAAAGTAAAGTATGGAGAATAATTTAAAATAAATAGCATTGTTTGAGGATGTATGTTGAATTAATCCCTATTTTAATATCTTCTATAACTCATTTTATTTAAGGTTAAAGTACACAAATGATCCTCTAACTATAGGGTGTTACTTTGTTGAGTCCCTTAACTATTAAAAGTTACAAAATAGTCCCCATCTATAGAGTGTTATTTTGTTAAGTCCCCTGACTATTAAAAGTTACAAAATAATCACCCGACTATTCATATGTTCTAGACTCGTCCTATTTAGAAATAATTGGTGGTCATCTGAGCTTGACGTTAACATGTTGATTGAGATATTATAAAATCTAATCCAGGAATTGTTTAATCTATATTTTGTGGATCGACTCTCCATTTGCATTATTCGTCAAGTCAGTTCTTGATATATTTTGTCATCAAGTAAGTGCTTGAAAGCAATGACGATGTCTATAGATATCATTAAAATATAATTTTATCATATATCAGTCAGTAGGTTAGTATCCAATTCAAACAGTCGCAAATTTTTTTAACAGAAAAGGACGATTTTGGAACATATGAAGATCAGATGATTATTTTGTAACTTTTAATACTCAGGAGACTCAATAGAGCATCACTCCATAATCAGAGGACCATTTTGTAATTTGTAATAATTAAGAGACTAAAAAAATAACACCCTATAGTTGAGGGATTATTTATATAATTTACCCTTTATTTAAATGAGAGTTGAGATATAAACATTATTAAAAGAACTTCGTGGCTAAAATATCAAGTCGCGCAAAGTTTAGACAAGTAATCTTCGTTAATACCTCCGAAAAAGCAGAGGGGGAGGGCAGAGCATTTATAGAGCATTGAGAGAGATTCTTTCTTTCTCTCAAAGTGAAATCAAAATTCTTGTTTAATGGTTTCTTTTGGGGTTTTGTTGGTTTGATTTGTTTATTTCGATCTGCCTTCTCTCAACGATTTTGGTTTAGATTCAATGGAGGATCAGAGGAAATACATGAGTGCTGAAGAGCTGAAAGAACATAACAAATCTGGGGATTTGTGGATCTCAATCCAGGGCAAAGTATACGATGTTTCAGATTGGGCAAAAGAGCATCCCGGCGGCGAGATCCCGCTCTTGAATCTGGGTGGCCAAGATGTTACCGATGCCTTCATAGCGTATCACCCCGGAACCGCTTGGCAATATCTCAACAAGCTGTTCACCGGCTACCATCTCAAAGATTTTAAGGTCTCGGCGACGTCCAGGGATTACCGGATGCTGGTCTCCGAGTTTGCCAAAGCTGGTATGTTCGAAAAGAAAGGACATATTGCCCTTTTTTCACTAACATCCGTAGCTCTAATGTTTCTTGTTGTTCTTTATGGTGTTTTGAGATGCCATAGCGTGTGGGCGCATATTGGTTCAGCCATGTTGTTGGGCTTGCTTTGGATGCAAAGCGCATACGTCGGCCACGATTCCGGCCATTACCAAGTAATGTGTAGCCGTGGCTACAACAAAGTCGCCCAGATCATATCTGGGAATTGTTTGACCGGGATCAGTATCGCCTGGTGGAAATGGACTCACAATGCTCACCATATTGCCTGCAACAGCCTCGATCACGATCCCGATCTCCAGCACATCCCGGTTTTCGCTGTCTCTTCACGTTTTTTCAGCTCAATCACGTCTAGCTTTTATGACAGGAAGTTGAATTTCAATCCTTTAGCAAGGTTCTTAATCAGTTACCAACACTGGACATATTATCCCGTCATGATTGTAGGAAGGGTCAATCTGTTTGTCCAAACATTCTTGCTTTTGTTTTCAAATCGGAAAGTCCCAGACAGAGGTTTCAACATAGCAGGAATCCTCGTGTTCTGGACTTGGTTCCCTCTCCTGGTTGCATGTCTTCCCAATTGGCCGGAGAGGTTCATGTTTGTTCTTGCCAGCTTTGCAGTCACATCGATCCAACACGTTCAGTTCACTCTGAACCATTTCTCGGCAAATGTATACGTCGGACTCCCCACAGGCAACGACTGGTTCGAGAAGCAAACGAGCGGGACAATAGACATTTCGTGTTCTTCAATGATGGATTGGTTCTTCGGTGGGTTACAGTTCCAGCTAGAGCACCATCTGTTCCCCAGGTTGCCTCGTTGCCATTTGAGGAAGGTTTCGCCATTGGTGAGGGAGCTCTGCAAGAAGCACAGTTTGCCTTACCGGAGCTTGTCGTTCTGGGAGGCGAATAAATCGACGATTAGGACGTTGAAGACGGCGGCCTTGCAGGCTCGGGACTTGACCAACCCCGCCCCTAAGAATTTGTTGTGGGAAGCTATTAATACTCATGGCTGAGGATATTTTGTCTATTTTCTTGAAAGAAATTCAATTTCTTTTTTGTTTTTAGTGCACTTTTAGATAATCGGATTTTTAAATTGCTTTCTCTTTATATATGTTCTCATATATTTTGGGTTTTCAATACAATATTCTCTCCATATTGGATTTTTCTTTGAAGCATATGCTGTGAAGTAGGGGTGGGAATGGGGTGGGAATAGGTCTGGCCGGCCTATAGGAGTTTACGATTGGTCTATATAAAGCTCGGCTTGACCTATTTAATAAAAAAATTAAAAAAGTTGGCCTCAAGCTTTTTTAAAAGTTTATTAAATTAAACAGATCAGGTTTTATAATATTTGAGCCTGGCCTACGATAATTTTTTTTAAACTTGAATCTGACTTGTAATATATTAAAGGCTTTTATTTTAGCCTCACCTCTTTTTAAAAACCTTATTCCATTAAAACCTGGCCGGCCTATTCCCACCTCTACTGTGAAGTCTAATATTCTCTATACGTTATTGCCTAGAATATGACTCTTTCCTCAACTTATGCTTTGGTCCCTCTACTTTACTGACATTTGAACATGGCATGAAGATGGTCTATTATCATTATCTTGGTCACCCATATATAGGGGTGAGCGTTCGAGTGAGTCGAGTCGAACCGAGTTAAAAAAATCGAGTTATTTGAGTTGAAGAGTCCTATTTAACTCAAAGTTGACTTGAAATTTTTTTTAGTCTAGTCGAATCGAATTTTCGAGTTTCTATTTAAATTTATTGTAAATATTTATAATATTATAACATTATTTGATTCAAATTTAAATATGTTTTTTATAACCATATACAATATATATATATATATTTCTTTATTTTTTCATATGTGATATACATATATCATACAAAGTGGAGAGACTCGCTTAAACTTGAATATCAATTCACTAATTACTAAAAATTTTGAGTTATTCAAGTTGTATCTTACAACTCGATTTGAACTTTAAATTTTTTCGAGTCGAGCCGAGTTTATGAAATTACAATTCGAGTCAAGTCGAGTTTTGCTCACCCCAACCCATATGATCTCCTTTCACATACCCAACAATCCAATTCGTTTTCTTTTTCAATTGTCTAGTTGATTACAATCACCCCAAGGTAGTATTTGTTTAGAATTTTTCTTAATAATTGACAACGTACGTATAAGCACTATACAGTTGTAACTGCTCGAATTTAAGACTTAGAGAAAGAACAACACTTTATTTAACCATTAAACTCACTTCCAATAATCCAATTCTTCAACAAAAAGAATTCAGATAATGTCCATAAAGAAATTGGTCGTACTGCACCTCCAATTTGTTTAAAAATTTCCAACTCCCAATCCTCATGTGTTGAATTTAGACAATCCTCCAATAGATTCCACTGCCATCCTTTTTACAACGTGAAGAAAGGTAAATTGACTTGAAAGAGAAACTTCTCACAGCATTTAGCAAAGCGTTTGTAGGCTAACTATTAGGATAAACGCCAAGTAATACAAATAGGTTTTATTCTAGATTGATATAATCTTATTAACATAAATTATTTATTTGAGATAATTTTATAAATTATAAATTTATTTAAATCATCAACTAATATAAGTATACGGTATATAATTAGTTAAAGTGTTGTTAGATAATCAATGGGTTAATTTTTGCTTTTATTGTTTTGCATGTACTAATTCTATGTTCGACGACATAATGTGCAAAAAAAAGAAAAAAAAAAGAAATAATATAAAAAATATTTAAATGGATAAGTTCAAATGAATTATTTCTCTTATTGAAATTACTATACTAAAGACAAAATTTCAACATATTTGTGAAATTAACTTTAATTTCACTTGTGGTGTATTAATTAATAATTATATAGTTTAATGGTATATGAGACCCTCAAACTTTTGAAAAAAATATTGTGACTCATGAACATCTATTCTACACATAATGAGGCCCTTATATTGAGAAAAAAATTAATTTAACCATTTTACTAGTGAAAAACGTCCTTGATTATTATGATGGTGATATGACGATTCATGGTGTTAATATGACAATTTATGATGTTGATATGATAATTTACGATATTGGTGTGACAATCCACAGTGGATAATACCATGGTAGAGGGGTTTAATTGATTCTTTTAGAAAGTTTAAGGGTTTAATTACTTTTTTAGAAAATTTGAGAATTTTTCTAATATTTAAGAAAAAAAATAAAACTCACAAATTATTTAAGATTATTAATATAAAATTTATTAAAATAATATAAAAATATTAAAATAAAAAGTAAATATAAAAAACTTAAAAAATACTAAAAATGCTTTTAAAAATTTTAAAATTAAAAAATATTCTAAGTGTTGAGTTTATCTAAGTGTTGGTTTTGGATAACAATATTTTATTTTAAATGTATTCATTTCATTCTAAAATAAATGTCTTTTTACAAATCAAAATAATAATAAAAGAGAATTTATTTTATATATAAAAAATTAAATTTATTAAAAAAAATTGAGAATAACATACGATTAAACGATTATCACATATATATTACTATCTATGTGGACATAAGATTGGATCAAAACTACATACACAAATAGCTTGATTTATTTGTCTAGATTTCCAAATTTACATTATTTCCTTAGTCGTAACTAACATTACAACTTACAACAAAAGCAACACTAGGATGCGGTACTAATTGTATCCTCATTCCATGGATTGTAGTCGTTATCGCTTTAACCAACAACTTCTTCTTCTTCTTCTTCTTCTTATTATTATTATTATTATTATTATTACGGTAAAGTATAATAATGATCACTGAACTTTTTTTAGACTTATATTTAGGTCTCCCAACTTTTAAAACTTGCAATACAGTCCTCCAACATTTAGTCCGTTTAAAATATGGTCCCCGACATAACCGACCGTTTGACGCCGTTACACTGCCGTTAGAAGAAGATGATGTGGCAGTCCTCCAACATTTAGTAAGAGGTCCCCCAACTTTTAAAACTTGCAACATAATCCTCAATTTCATTCTAAACCTCAAATTCCTTTTCGATCTCGAATTTCTTTTTTTTCACTTCTTTCTTCTCATTTCCAGCGTAACTTTTCAGTCAGAGATGCATGATAAATTCTAATATAATTTTGAATTCTCTGGAGTTGTTGACTTGAATAAGGGTCCATTGAGAGAAGACCTGACCAAGGGACTATCGGGACCATCAACGATTCAAGGTGTAATGTTAGATACATGCCATCTTAGGTGAAACATATATGTTCGATGAAATGCTTGTGAGAAAAAAATGGGGTTAGAAATGCAGAGTTGACAAATACTACTAAGATGAACTAAATATCATTGTTGAAAGTCACTAACAAAGTTGGAATTATTTTGTATAAATGGCATATAATTAGTTCTTCATTTAATCATTGTAGTTAAAGATTTTCCAACAGATGATCAAATATAATGAAATCCCAAACAGTGCCTTCACCTCTCAGTCTCTTTCGCTCACATGCACTCTCGTTTGGTTTTTGTTCTTCAGTTTTCCGCCATGTAAAACAATGCTCTGTCTTTCAGCTTTTTATTTACAAATAAAAAATGGAGGAAGAATTGCTTAAATGCAACACAAATTGCGTTGGTTTCTTAGTTTCTCCCCTCACTTGCAAGAAGGTATTTATTTTCTCTTTTGGGCTATCCGGAAGTAAGCTTTTCCTCCTTCGCATTTTCCCATTTTCAGCTCGCATTGTGTGTTTTTTGTTGAAATTTTTATGTTTCTGGAACTGTATATCAAGGATCTGGATATTCAGTGTTAATTTTGAACCAAAACCATCTAATTTTCTTTCTTTCTTCTTAATCAAAACTTTTAGTATTCCTTAAGAAAGATATTCAGTCCATCAGAATAGAAGTGAAAGAGGGTCTTAGGCTAATTTTTTTATCTTTGTCGAAATGATTTTTTCCTTAAAAGTGAGATTTTAAAAACCACACCATTTTTTATTATCCCTTTATGATTAAATTTTAATTAAAAACAATGCGATTTTAGAAAACCTATCGTTTCAAAATATTGGAAATTCCTTTACGATAAAAAAGACATATAGTTCGAGAAGTCGCCACCAATCTTTGATTAGGGTGTGATTGGGCACCCAAAAATGTTTTGCCATTTTAAATAAAAATTAATATTAATTAAAACAACAAATTGAGGTATGCGTTACCAGAAAATGAGTTCGGGAGTCGGTTACACGTGGGGAAGGATTAGCACTCGCACAGCGCCCTAAATCGGTACCTAGTCGATTAATTAATGTCTTTGCAATAAAATTTACAAATTCGATTTTAATTTGATTTATGAACCTCAACAAAACAATATATGAATTTTTACAATATTCAAAAGCACCAAAATAGATTAAATTAAAATCACCCTACCTTTTAGAAAGATAAAGAATATTCGATTATTTAAAAATAGCGAGACCATATCTTAGATGAGGTATAATAACCTTTTCTCAACAAATTTAAATAGCCAGACATTTCTTTTTCTTCCATTCCCAAATTGTTTCCAATTTTTTTCCAAATTTTAAAGTGATGGATCAATTTTTAGGTGTCACTAATAAGATACACTTTTAATTCAAAATCGTTAAAAGTGGAACTCTAATGAGATATAATAACCCACTTAAAACAATTTTAAATTAAAAGTGTATTACCCTTAATTCAATTATATAATAATGTCGAGTTATGCAAGTGAGGCTATCATGCAAATCATACAACAATGATGTCCTGCAAAAATTAATTAAGCAAACATTATGATTAAAAATATCATGCAATGTGACATTTTAATACAAAAATTCCATCAATATTTTTTATAACTATAAATTATAAACTATATAAATTAGTATGTAATGTACAAATGTGACTTAAACATACCAAATAAAAACATAACATCTCAAATTACAAATTTTAGAAAATAATTGTACTTATTAAAATAAGGACTAAATTATATTAAACCAAACTTTACTATTTTAAATACAAAAAAATAATAATTGAAATGGACATGAATATTACACCATAATAAACAATGAAACCGAAATAAA